TTCCACATGCGAATGCAGACATTTGAACATACACTTGGGTACCACCCCCAACATCACCACTAATCATATGTACTTATCAGCTCCATTCCTTAGAGGAATAAAGCAAGGATAAGTGAACAATCAAAGGCCCCCACATCAGTGAAAAGAAACAGTGTGCAACCTTGACTAGATTCCCCATGACCATTAGCTCACTTAAATGAGGGTGTCCTCATTTGCAAAAAGATGTGGGCTAACCTGGAAATACTTCATCTCCTTCAAGGTCCTTTATCATCTCACAGTGGGGTATGATCTCTTTCTAAGATGAGAAGGAAATCTAGGATCAGAAGGAAGCCTATATTACAAAAAAAAAAAAGCAAAACAATCAAAATACCCCACTTTTTGTTCAGCTGAAGGCCAGTGGAAAACTCCATGGCTGCCCCTCTGTGAGTATGATACCATCAGTGCCGGGAAGACATCTGTGAACTGCCAGAATCCAGGAAGAAGCTCAATGAAGCCAGGTTTTGCAACCAAGGAGGGCAACTATTCTATATTTGCATTTCCCCTTAACTGAAGGCTATAGGATTGTTTCCAGACAATATTTGGAAAACAAAATCTCATTACTCTAAACAACAGAGGAAGATTTTGAGGTTTTACATCTTCCTTCTGACTCAGTGGAGCGGGAGGGAAGAGAAGTGGGAAAACACTGCATTTATCTGCTTTGTGGCTTGCCTCATTCTGCTTTTAAATGTGCATGCCTAGAAGCATGACTGTCTCTGTCATCTTCGTATCACTTGGGCAAACTTCATAGACCATGATTTTGACTTTAGCTAGGTTTTTCTTACAAGGACAGGAATTGATGGCCCCTCACTGCCTCACTGAGGGGATGAGTTAACTAAATTTTAAAAACTACCAGGAAGAAGTTGTAAAGCTAGAAGCATTCTCATTTGTGCCAGGGACTCCCCAGTCTTCTATTTTTGCATGACACATGTCAACTACATAGGCAGCATGACCTCCTGGCCTTCTTGCTTGGACTGAGACATTTGATGAGACCTTGTCAAAGTTTGATGAGACCCGAGCTAGCTGAACACTGTCTTATGTGGTTCTGCTTTTCAGTGTGCAGAACCCTCACTTCCTCTTTATATGCCTGTGCTTAGGAGATACCTTCAGGTTCATGCTAGAGGGACAGCAACACAACATTGCATCTTCCTCAGGTTCATGCTACAAGGGAAGCCATACCACTGTGCTTCTTCTTCAAGGCCACTTTATAACTTACAGTCCTCCATCCTGAGAGAGTAAGGTTGCAATAAACCTAGTGGTTGTGTTTTCCCCAAATCCTAAAGGTCTCACTGATGGCATTAGCAGGTGGGGCCTTTGAAAAATGATCAGGTCTTGAGGATGAAACCCTCACAAATGATATTAGTGCCCTTGTTAATGGCACACCCTAGGTCTCTCTTGCCCTCTGTCTACCATATGACGACACAAAGAAGATAACATTCAAGTCTGATGGGATTTGCCCCAGAACCCATGCTGTCCCTTTACTCAGAGGTCTGACCTCTAGAACAATGTATAATTTTCTGTAGTTTCTGAAGTACCTAGTTTATAATACTTTGTTGGAGTATAGTGAAGGAGCTATTGGTGGCTCTTGGGTGGGTAGAGGGATATTTTGTGATTTCCTCTGTCAAATGGCAATTCCCATCACAGTGAGTAGCATGTTGCTAATGGGCAGAGCCCATGAGGCCTTACACATTGCTCAACGAAGATGTCAAGGACCAAGAAGGCCCTGTCTGACTCCTACTTTCTCCGTTCACACATGTCTAAGGAAAGAGGACCTCTTCTTTTAAACTTAAGTACCCTCCTGTTAATGTGTGAGCTCACACTGACCAAAGCAGCCAGTAGAGGGTAAGTGTTCTTTGAAGCCTTGTGTTCATTTGATTCTTAGAAATTTTATGTCACATGTTAAGAAGACTACATATGATCTGGATTCCTTTTATAAAGACCTGAAGCTAGTTTAGGAGTTTAGATTTGGTCTCTAGGGTATGATTTTAAAGGCGATTGTGGAAGAGTTTGGCTCTTCTTCTCACCTCAATCAGGAAACTATCATCCTCTCTCTCTCTCTCTCTCTCTCTCTCTCTCATGTGTACATAGCCAGAGGTCAAAATCAACTATGATTCTTTTAATGGTTCTCTGCCTCATTTTTTGAGGCAGAGTATCTTTCTGGAGTTCACTTATTCAGTTAGACTGACTTGCAAATGAACTCCAGGCATCTTTCTGCTCAACTTTCCCAAAACTGCCATTCTAGGTATATACCATGATGCCTGGCTCTTTATGTAGGTCCTGGGGATCCAAGCTCAGTTCCTCATTCATGTATGCAAGTATCTTACCTACTGAGCCATTTCCCTAGCCCCAAACTGTTCTTTAAGAAGCAGAGGAGTGATCAGCAGGAAAGCAAGCAGCAGAATGGGCCAGTGGGGGTATGGGGTAAAAGAGGGTCATGAAGGTTTGCATTCCAAGAAGCACCATGGCTCAGATTTAGGTGACATTTATTTGGTTTAAGAAGTTAGTGTGGTGTGTGTGTGTGTGTGTGTGTGTGTGTGTGTGTGTGTGTGTGTGTGTGGTTTGTTTACCTAGGTGACAGCATTTACACTTCAATGTTAAAAAGCTGAATGGCTTTCTAACCTAAACCTATTATTTCAAATGTGCCAAAGACTTGGCTACCATTGAAATTTGGATTTGGAATGTCCTCCTAAAGGCCCATGTTTTCAAGACTAATGGGAACCAGTGGAATCTCCAGAGTGTGGGTCTGCTAAGAGCCTCTAGCTCTGGGGTAAGCCCTTGAAGGTGAGTGTGGTTGTGAGCCAGCCTCTTCCTCTTTCTCTCTCTCAACCTGGTCATCAAGTGTGGAGCTTTTGGCCTCATCAAGTGCTTCCTGCCATGTTGTGCTACACTGCCTCAGGCCCCAGAGAAAACATCAACTAACCTTGGCCTCTAAAACTGAGCCAAAGAAACCTTTTCTCTTTGAAGGCAGATTTCCCTCTGGCATTTCCTACAGGAACAGAAAACGAACAGTCACATTTGCAGAAGTCACCAGTGTCCTAACTCCCAGTCCAGAATTGCTCCTTTTATACTCAGCTCAAATTAGTTTTTTTATTTTTTTCTTTCCTTGCTTCTTCATTAGTGACAAAACAACACTCGGCCCACACAAACTGATGGATTCCCACCTATGACCCAAGAGTGATGGGTTCAAGTTTCTCCCAGTCTGTGTCATCCTTGGTTTGTATCTTTTTTAAATGTTAAAATATTTACATTGACTCTGGTTTTGGCTGTTTGCCACCTTAAGGAAAAATGGCAACCCAGAAATGTACTGTTCAGCATGTTTTCTGTAATTGAGACTTCGTTGATGCTGTGCATGTGGATGAGATACATACTTAGCTCCAAGGGAAGGAAGCATCAATGAAGTGTTCATTTTCACCAACAATTTAAGCAAATTGTCACCATTAGTGACAGGAATTATCCTGTGTCCTATCTCTGAATTTTGATAATTCAATATCAGGTATGTGCCTCTTCCCTCTCCCAAGAATGGAAGAAAACTAAGCCATCCCATCTATCAGTGAGTGCCCTGCAGTGTGAAATGTAAGCCTGACAAGATCTGGGTGGGCTTTCATTGCATAAGCATCTCTACATGTCTACAGAGATCCTTCTTCTGAAGACCTTGCATTTAATATCTCTAATGTGACCTTTTAATGTTTGCCATGCAATTCCTTAGGGATAATTGCTCTAATCCTCGTTGAAGACTAAAAAAAAGCATTGCTGTGTTGGAATCCGAAGAAACTGTTTGACTACGTCTTTTATGGACCATTTGAGGAATTCAAGGAAAACATTTCGCTTCCATTTTCTTGCATGTACTTGAATTTGTACTTTCTTGCCCCCTTGAAGTTAGGCAGAGCTGTGCCACTTGCTTTGGCCATTGAGCTACGAGCAGAATTGAGGTAGCTAGCATTCAGGTGGAGGCACTAGGGTGAGTATGGGCTCTGTTGTCTTTCTTTATACCTGCATTGGTAAACATGGAGATGATCTCCCTCATACTTCCTGTGGTGTGTACATAGATGTCTTCTACCCAAGGTGTGTGAAAATGCCGAGAGGTGGCAGGACCTATGAGAGGTGGGATTCAGTGAGAGATGATTAGGTTATCTGGGATGTCATACTCATAAATTACTGTCTGCTTGCAGGGAATGGATTAGGTACCACATAACTTGTTACCTTGAAGATGGGTTGCTATTGTGCAGTCTGCGTTATACCCCTTGTATTTGTCTTCTTCTACACACTTCACTGGCTGCTCTTGCTTTCATTTCTTCCATGGGATGTCACCTGCATGCTGTGACATTATGAGGCCCTTGCTAACCATAGCCACCTGAACTCTGTCTGACATTTCAACCTCTCAGAAAGTGACCTCATACAAACGTTTCTTCACAAGGTATTCACGTCAAGTGTTTCAGGGAAGCTCCCGGTGTGGACTAAAATACTCCCTGGATGAAGACAGCAAGGAGCAGTGTTTCTAGCTAAGTAGAAATTGCTGTGCCACACAAATAAGAAGTGAACAGGGGTTTTAGAAGTCTCTGAGGTTAGGGGCTAACCTGTCATGGCTGGTTCACTGATGAAACATTGTAACACCCCACTCCATTAGCTTTGCTTCATTAGACATGACTTTTTTATATTGAGTTTTTCCAAAAAAAAAAGTTTATTTGGAATAGTATAGACTTCAGTCCATAATTTAATGATTTTTCTATCACAAAGATCACTAAAGATGTAGCTAACATTCTGTAGCTAAAAGAATAAAGTGAAGCCGGGCAGTGTTGGAGGACGACTTTAATCCCAGCACTTGGGAGGCAGAGACAGGTGGATCTCTGTGAGTTTGAGGCCAGCCTGGTCTACAAAGCTACACAGAGAAACCTTGTCTCGGGGAAAAAAAAAAAAAAAAAAAAACCAGAATAAAGTGAGACGTGAAGAATTGGCAAACACCAAGAGAAATTGGAATCCACATTTATTGATGAGAAATATATATCCACAGAAGTTAAAACACTTAGTGAAAGGTTGGATTCACAGGTTATTTCCAGTTATTTTACACATGAAATGTTACAGTCATCAGTCCACATCACAAAAAAGCTTAAGACAGACACGGGAGACCTTAACTACCCAAGATGTGCTTTGCCAACAAGGTATTTCCTAGTACCATATATAAGAAACAATCCCCAAATTAGTTGAGTCTCTCATCTTTTTTTGCATTCATTAGTCTTTAAATACCATGCGCTGCTATAGATACACTATGCTACATGACATCAGACCAACGGGGGACTTGTGAACTTGAGGGAAACCATTACTCTTTCATTCAAAGATAATCCTGCCTAAAGTCTACTTCCCTTCAGTACATTTTTTTTTTTCATCCAGAATTTGAAGGACCCAGCCACCCAACTCCTCACTCCACACATCTGGAGAAGCCCCTGGAAATGAATGTGCTTCACATCTTCAGGATCTTTGAAAAGTGTGTGGGGGGGGGGCACTCTCCAGCATGTTGCTGTTTCTTCCCATCTTTGCAAGGAAGAAAGGGGTTACAGGAGCTACAGACCTCACAGCTTGTGAGAATGAGGAGGAATTGGTCATTGTTAGTCTCATTCTCACCCACTTCACACATACAAACAGAGCATCCTGGGTAGAGGAGATCAGACTCCCATCACATACTTGGGATCAGTGCATCAGAGGTTGGTCCTTTGCCGCTGCCAAGGCTGGCCCCTAGCCTTGCTGTGCTTATAGTATTCTGTTGTTTTCTGACAAATGTGCAATGCTGCCAGAACTGTGCTTTTTTGGGGGAGGGGGGGTCACCTGCATGGCAGCTAATCAGTAAATACATTTCTGTACTCTGACTCAAGAAGTCAAAGGGAACAAGGCTCTTCAGAATCTTAGGTCATGGGTATCATGTCATTACAAAGAACTGACAGCCAGCGAGGTCGACCCTCCCCCAAAGACACGATTCTAGCATGCCAAGGAGCAGGTGGAGCCCTCCTTCTTTGTCTCTCTAAGACCAGTCCACTGATGAAGGAAGTCAGGAGACAAATATCCTCATTCTGAACCTCCCTCAGCCTTGTCAACCATGAGTTCCACAGGTGCACTGAGTGGGAAAAGGTGCAGGTATAGGATGACTTTCACTGTGTGGTGAGACACACATTCAACCCCATCCCTGCTCTGAGTTGTATTTACAAAGGTGCTGAACAGATAGATTTGCAAACAATCATCAGTATGGAGGTTTCATAGGTAAGTTCTTCACTCAGATAACATTGAGAAAGAGAAATAACCCCTAGGAGATACCTAAGACAAACAGTAGGTTTTCCAAATGGCAATCAACAAATCTATTGGAATTAGATAAACAGCCAAGAACAACATTTAAATTAAATTACATCTATACACCATTTCACTGAAATTACACACAAATACCTACATCACCGCTACACAAAGTGCATAGGCACTGTCTTCATGCGTGAACCAAGTGTCAGTGTGTACACACAAGAATGTCATGCTCTGATAGCTAGCTGTACTTGAAAACAGATACAATCTTAGCCAGTTGAGGGCACATCTAATCTGTTTGCTTGATGAGGAGCAGGTTCAAATACATCCTAGTATGTGTTCTATGTAACGGACTACCCTTTCAAACACGGTAAAATACTAGTTCCACCACCATCTCAGAGAATGTGTTTGGCGGAGGAAAGACACCTCGTGTTTTCCGTGGCTACTGGTTTACCTTGTGGGATGGTTACATAGTTTGATGCCTACCTGAGGATAATCTATTTGGGTTTATTACAAATAATCTCAGTGTGACTCCCACCTCTAACCCCCCAGTGACTCAGCATGGATTCTGAGCAGGTACTAAAAATATGTTGTCTTTCGTTTCTTTTAAAAATATATGTTTGATTCACATAACAATGTGAGGTTTTGCTTTCATTGTGCTTGGCAAGACTCAAAACTGCACCAAACCTGTCCCAAATTCTTGTCTTACCATTCATCCTCAGTCTTTGCTACTCAACCCTTTCCTAGGCCAATTTTCACATAAATATTTAGGAATGCATGGGAGATTCTGATATAGAAATTATCCCACTGCTAGCACCGGTCTTTATTCATCTTACGGGAAAGTAAATTAGAATGGTCGATTGGGAAAACAAGGTCTGGTGCTGGAAGAAAAGAAGTCAGCACCTTTCCTTGGCCTTGGAGGATTAATTGTCTAGATGCATATCCTAACTATCTAAGGGGGTTAAGCAATTCCTTGCTCCTAGTTTGGTCATGTTAGTCATTGCATCATTAAGGACCAGAGTTCCTAAATTTCTCAAATGTGGCTGTATGCTCAGGAAACAGTTGATACCCCTAAATTGCTATAGAAACTTGTGCTCTAATTAGTTATACTTCTATGTGGTTGTATAGAAAATATCATAAGAAAATATCTGTTTGAAAAATTACAGATACTAAATAGATTATTTCTGCCAACTCTGAGTCTTTATGATTTTTGAAGAATAGATACAAACATGCATAACATTCTTAAAGGCTAAATTAAGATTAAACTTGTAATATCCAGGTCTATAAATATTTCTCTTTATAAATAATAGCAAATAACTGTGGGGATTCATCTAAGAAAGAATGTAAGATTGGGCCAAAGTAACTTTGTAGATTTGGGGTGCAATACTGATCAGAGGGTGATATGTTGTCCCTAGTAACACAGATTCTTCCCAGGAAGCTAAAATATATCTGCTGGCATCAAGATAAAATTAGATTCACAGTTTGCCAGCTCTCTCCTCAAGCTGTAGAAAACAAATAGAAAAAGAATATACAAAAATTCCCCAAAAAGTAGGCTTGTTTTAATATATACAAATCTCTATAGTAACCAGATGGTCTGGTTTGTGTTGTACAGCATGGAGATGGGATGCTGAGCTCTTGCAGAGGCAGGAAGAAAGAGGAAAGGGTTGAGATGAGCTGTAGAAGAGTCTGGGTACCAGATTCTTAGACAGGAAGGGAAATATGGAGCAGAAAGTCACCATGGAGCTGAGTTTCAGATAGCATGTATTAGGGAATTTGCTCATGAAGAAACCTTACGGATATGTTTGACCAACTTCCTTGGCTCGTGAGTGTATCTGTTCCCAATTCAAGGGCACCAGGCCGTTTCTAGGCAGGGTAAGTGGTTGCCATGAGGAGAAACAGAACCCAGAAGTAGCAAGGCTCTGACTGCATCATCCCCATGCCCCAGAGGATGATGACAAGGATAACAGTCAGTTGTTAGGTTCCAAAGTTCATCTGGGGATTGGGGGTGTCTCCAGAGGAACCCAGATATACTGCCACCAACTGTCTAAGTCACGTGCTGACTCTGCAGTGCACAGGTCTGTTCTAACAAAATTGGGAGATTGGCATAAAAAAAATGCTGATGGGAAATGATTCCAGAACCTTATCTCCCACTTTTCCATGATGACCTTAAGTGGGTCAATTACGAAACACTATCAACTTTCTGCTCTCTCCTCTAGATCTTCTGCCACCTTGGGGCAGGGAAGCAGGTGGGGGAGGGTGCAAAGCAACCACCATCACCACCAACAGCAAAAATTAACCTTTTAGACCTGGTTTTCCAACTTGCTCTCCCAAATTTGAAGAGCTAAAATCTTTTCTGGCAATGAAGATGTTCACTACACTAGACATGTCAACTCTATTCTAGCAGAAATTTAGTCAGAGGGCAAACATGCAAGCTATGGTCTATTACAACAGAAGCAGAGAGGGTAAGCTACCTCACAACTTTCTAACTACTTAGAGACTCTGTGGGCACAGAAAAGGGCACAAGAAAATGGGAAAACTCCATTCTTATAAGTGACAACATTTCTCCCTATAATGTTATGTCTGTTATGCAAGCAAACGAGGAGGAAAACTTTCAAATGAAATCAATCAAATCTGCCTGCACATCCCTCGAGAAAAGACTCATCTCCCTGGTTCAGGAATGAATGTTCATGTCTGCACACATATGGAGACGGTTGCTGTGGTTGTGTAAATCTTGCACCAAATGTCAGGAGTGTTCAAGCTTGTTTGCCAGAGCCTCCCAAATTCCCATACAGGATTGGCAATTAGGACTGTTTGGGGAAAGTGATGTGGGCTGAATATTTGGAGTGGGCTCTGTTGCTACAGCAGGTATGATGCAAGAACTCAAGTGCAGCTGTGAGGTGCCTGGTCCCTCCTGGTGACTCTGCAGAACATCTCCCTGGGCAGAACTGCATCTCCTGTGAGAACAGTGAGTTTAGGTCAAAGGAATCTTCACAAAGGGATATTTACTGGTGTCTCAGAAGAGCAGTGAACTATGGGTTTAAATGGCCACTCTCCAAGCCTCTTGTAAAGTGTGGAATGAACAGAGGCTCCAGTTTGAGTTTTCCTAAGGGAATGAGGGGGGGAGAATCTAAACTGATTATTCATTATTGTGTGTCTTTACAGCTTAAAATATAAGTAAGTCATGTTTTAGAGCAGGAAACCTCTGAAGATGGAAAAAGTAAAGCAGAGATTGGAAAAGTGCATTTGCAGAGCTAGACAGGGACTTTAGTCATTTGGTCCAATCCCCCCTCTTCTCATACAGAATCAAAAGAAGCCTGGGCAGGCAGACAGTGGCTTTTGTAAGCTTCAAGTGAGCAGTATCTAAATCAAATGGTTCCTCTCCCAAACCACGTTGTTTTTAAGCATCCTTGCATCCCTGTGTCAGTGCCTGATTATGGCTCAGACTATGGTAGTGAGACTGAATATTACTCAGCTGAGATCTGCTATCTCCTTACAAACAAGCCCCCACATAACTACATGGCCATTTACTACTCTGTCTGTTGAGCAATGGGATGGAAGGAAAGGAGGAGGAAGGAAGAAAGCAGAGAACTGGGAAGAGAGTTTTAGGGAAAATCCTAAACTAGCTGGTGTTTTTGAGCAGATTTTATCTCACTCCATTCATGGAAAAATAGCTGACACCTTTGCTACCTGGCTTGGTTGGCATGTGGTGACCCTTCTTTTGGGTTTAGCCAGAAAGTAGTATAGATGCCAAGACCATGAATCTTCAGTGACAACTTGATTTAGGAAACCCCCACTTGAGACACTTAAACTTTGTCTCCTTATGACCCTTGGCCCTGGAGTCCTGTAAGTATCCCAATACCGGAAAATCCCATCTGGTACTTTGTCTAGGCTTATAATGAGTTCGGCTGGAAAATAAGCAAAGCAAAAGTGCAGGGCAGTGTGCAGAGAGCAGAAGCTGGGTGAGTTGGCCCCTGCGGTGTAACTGCTTCAGTTTTAGTCATCAAAGGCTGATGCTGCCCGGACTTGTCTATCGGAGTCAGAAGCGTGTGAACACTTTTTTGGATTTATTGCGCTATTGCATGAGGGAAATAGTACATAGGCAAGAGCCTGGATTCTGCTGAAAGTGAAAAGTTACAGTGAACTTTTGCTTTGGAGGACAAAGGGGAGATGATTTGCAGAAAGAAGGCAGGATTGGGTTTTCTTTTGAGGACCCCACAGATAAGCTTCCCAGTCTCTCAGGGCTGAAAGGGGCCTCTGACCAAATGCATGTGGCATGATTTTCCAGCCACAGCTGGAAATTACCTGAGAATCAAGTCGAGCATTGAGATTCCCAGAGTCCTCTAGCAGGAATTGCCCCATTAGCTGAATTCTTCCTATCTGTTTCTCTATTTTCTTAGTTTCCATCCAGGGACATTTTGGTACCCTTTCACTCTATGAATGTCCAAGCTGACTAGAGAGAGGAGAAATGGCTGTTTGTCTTTTATGGTGTCTACAGGCAATGAGGCCACACAGGCTTTTTCCTATATCCAACAGGAAGTATAAAACAGAATGTGGTAGTGACCTTGTGGTCCTAAAATCACCTCCAGGACTTTACTGAGGTTTTGTGTGCTCAGATCCTGATGGCTGCCTCAATTCTCTAGCATACTGTATATGGAGAGGTTACCCTCAGAAACCTAAAGTTAATCACCACCTTCAAACACAACCATCCTATTCACTGACTGGATTTGGTGAATGTTCCTTAATACCTGAATAATGATTCCTCTTGCTTCTCAAAGGAAAAGGGTAAGGAAGGGAAGGGTGAACGTCTGCTCAATTGGTTTGCTTCTGAAATGATAAAGTATCAACTGAATCCATTTAAAGAATAGGCTTACCGAAGCCCTAGCATAACTCCCTGGAGTTAGTGTATGTGACACTGTGTCACATATACTGTGGTTATGTAAAAGAGAGGGAGGAGAGAGAGAGAGAGAGAGAGAGAGAGAGAGAGAGAGCTACACTAAAAGATTGGGCATTCAGAACTGCAATGGCTGTATTAATACACACAGTGACAAGTACCCTATTTAGACTAAGGCTTTTAAAATATACTTGGGATCTGTTTTTTTTTTTTCACTTATGGCACCTTTTCTAGGCAAAGGAAGCCCCAGTGGGTGTGCCATTGGAAGGATGGATGAGGACTTACAAAAATACGACATAGTACTATGTCAATTCCACCCACATCCTAGGTTTTCAGAATAGTCTCAGATTTGATGAATTGTTTATTTTCAATGTAATTTTTTCAATTTCTAGATAAATGTGATTTCCTTAACATATTCTCATTAGACAATGTATGTAGTCACAGACCAGGAAAATCTGACTAGTGAAGCCATGTACCTTGGCTATCTTGAAAACACTGCCCTTTCACATAGGCTAATGGGACAGCTAGAAGCAAGCTAAAGACAAAACAAATTAGAAAGATCTTCAGGCAGAATATGAGGTGACAACGTACATTGTCTCCCTGTGAGTGCTTCTGAGAAAAGGTCAATGTACAAGTACTGAGATGGCCTTTCATATGGGGAGAACCATTGTATGGAATGGCCTTCCTGGTCACACATAGCAAAATCCAGCATGCTCCTGGATGCTTTCCCTAGATACATCTATTCAGGGGAGGAAAGCACCCCCATATGGGGGGTACCACTTACAGATGCTCTAGAATAGTTCCACAGCTAAACCAGACGATCACCTTGATCTCACTTGTCTTCTATAAGGAATTAATTGCCTGTCATTGCTACCCTCAGATGAAGGTGAAAACAACCAGCATTCAAAAACCATCTGCCAACTGATGTGGTGGTGTCCACCTATCATCTTAGAACTGGGGCTGAGCAGGAAGGGTGTGAGTTTGAAGCTAGCCTGGGCTGCATAGCAAGAGCTAGTTTCAAAAACCAGAAACCAAACCAAAACAAAATAGTCATTAATACTGCTCCAGAATGATTCTTGTTTAAAAACAGTTAAGGTTTATGGGATAAAACAAAGAAAAAAACAATAGTTAAAAAAACAGGAATCTCTTGTTTTTTGTGTGATCCTTGTTTTCAAACAATTAAGGTTTATGAGATTAAAAAAAATGAAACAAAACAAAACAAAAAAGGAATCTCTTATAATTCATATGTTTCCAAGCTGTTTGATTTGAAAGACAGAAGTCACAAGAGAGGCTAAAAGGAGAGGCAATGTCTCAGTAAGTACCCTTTCTCAGAGATGCTGGGTCCTATTACTTATTTAGGAATGTCTTCCTAACTCTACTTGCCTCAGAGGACATATGCACTCTGACCTATGGACCAGGTTCCATCTGCTCCTTAGAGTCAAGTGTATTTTGATTTTTAGTGGTTCAAGTTCCCAGCTAACCCTTAAGCTCAAGAATCTTGGGAAAATACTGTGGGTTATTCAACAGAAGATAATAGGAGAGACACTCATAATTTTAGCTTGCACAACTAGTCATTAATTTGTTGGCTGTGTACCACAGGCAAACCACCATTCCGTGACAATTATATTATTTCTTCCTTCAAACTTTCACAGTCCTTGGAAAGGAATCTATCTGAGACTTGTGTGGAGCCATTCTTTGCCCCACTTGATGGTTTGAGACTGTCTGGACTCTGTCATAGGAATATTACCTTTAAGGGATTTTATACAAAGGTTGGCTTTATGCTCCTTTCTCACTGAAGGGGAAGGATTTGGTTGTGTCTTATGATGGTTTTCAGGTGCTTTATATAATGGAACACTTTCTATATATTATATATCGAAATGATATGAGAAGAAGCACAGCCAACATGCGTCCCTTTGTGTGAGGAAGCTAAATTTCAGCCACATAGATGGAGAAGAACATGAGGGAAGCAATTTGGATATTGAAAATATCTTTTTGTTAGGAAGTCAAATGAGATTAAGAGTGAAACAAATAGAAACAGAGATCAGACAATCACACCTAACTTCACTATGCTGTCTGAACACAAGTCAAACAAGTGAGTTTGGATATTTAAATCTGGTTAAAATTTAGGTTGACTATGTTCTTTTACTTTTCTCAAGGTTATATGCAAATAATTCTTAGTTCATTTAAATTCCCCATTTTACACACACACACACACACACACACACACACACACACACACAAATAGGGAAGGCAGAGCAACTGTGGGCTCCAAGGTCACCTGCCTTCCAAGAGTATGGGCACCCACTGAAACTCTGAAATATTTAACTTAGACAGTACACAAAAATGCAAGTTCCCTACGACAGATGCTTTCAATCAGTGCAGGTGCCGACTCTACAGTCTGGAGGGGGAAAAATTCTAGAAGCTTCTAGCAGGATCATTGTGCAGAACAAGGTAAGCCATGAACACTTAAGGAATACCACACTGTGTGTGCTCATTGTCTCAAGTCCCTGGAGTGTACCACACTGTTTTCGTCCTGTCCCCCGGGAAAAGAGCATCCACAGTTGTACATTGAGACAAAGGGAAGCTGGCAAGAACGTGTCTTCTGTTTAAAGTGGTGTCTCCAGCATCATCCATTCAGGTAATAACACAAGTAAGAAAATTAGACAGTTATGAAGCATTATTTGGCAAAGACACAGCACTGTGCCTGTCATCACGGGTATACAACAGCTCCTCTAAGCCTCGGCTAACAGATTAAGTAAACATAGAAATATGTGCATTTTTCCTTTTGTAAAGGAAGCCTGTTTAGAGCATCTTTTACCATAAGATATGCTGGGGAGTTTATTCAAGAATTGGCCGAGAGTCAGGTCATTATTTTTCACGTTTCCAAGGCTCTTCGTCAACGCTGCAGTCAGCTGACTTTCCATTGGCCGCCAGAGTTACCTGAAAACAATTACGATCAACATTCCAACTTACAGGCCACGAAGCACAGGAAACACCACCCAGGGGTCATGTGGAGAAGCACCAAATCCAAGCTTACAGTGAACATTGAAACCACAGTTTTAAATGGTATTGTTTCAAATACCATTTAAGCTCCATGGTTTTGAAGCCATCCCGGTGTTCAACAGTGAAAAGAGAACTAAATTGTCTGTATTTGTCAGGAGAGTATTGAGGGATCACTGATGGTCAGCATTTAGGGACAACTTCAACAACATTTTTAGGGTTGTGGGGTATCTCAGTACCCATGGACCAATCACATGTTACTGTAGTCCTTAAAATACAGTGAGTGCCCATGTGCTACTCCATACAACCATACAAAAAGAAATCCAGAATTAGGCAGCTACTTCTACTCATGCATGTGAAAGGTTCAGCCACAGTAAGCCCAGGTAAACTTCGTACATGTTCAGTCTTAATTACTGAAATGATGACACTTTGGCTCTACTGAATAAGCTAATTTCATTTTAGAAATCAAAACGGGGGACAGGTTTAAAAGTAGCAATGCATTTCCAAATCATTTCAATGCAGACACTTAGGAAACTATAATTAGCAAACCATATATACATGTTTTTCCTGGCCCAGAGCAAACTGAACCTTTATGCAGGAGGGAAGTTTCCCCATCCACTTCTAAGCAGGTTTCCTAGCTTACCTTCTTCTGTCTGTCTGTCCTCAACGTCATGTGCAAACTTAAACCCACGATTGATATTCCACATAATGAAGAGACTGGATTTATGGAAGCATTAGAATATGGAGACATGACAAATGCAGCAAAGTTGGAAAGAAATCTGACCTCCTTTTTACCCAAGTGGAAATGAAATGCATGCATCAAGAACATGCAGCATGCTAGGAACAGAGAACCAAGTGACCTTCGTGAACCATGCAATGAAAATTAAAAAAAAAAAAAAAAAAACCTGTCCATTCTTCCAATTCCCATTAGCACACCCCAACCCGCCCTCACACCATTGCTTCAAAAGCTCATGCAGTTAGCAGTGATGGCTCATATGCTGTTACTCCAATGAGAATTAAGAGGTGATTACATAACTCCAAACTACCATTGTGAAGTAAGAGACTAGCATGGCACAACAATGCTTAAATTGGTTAGAGTTTTGACCAGAGCTGCAGCAAACTGGTTTCCCACTCAATAAACTGTCAAGAAAGACTGCCAGAGGCAGACTGGAGAAATCTACCTATTCCTTGTGACCTTGAATATGCTTATTTGGCTCTCAGTGATCAATCAGATCAATGGCAGTGTATAGCTGTGGCATCCGGAAGAACCACATGACAAGTGGGGTGTGTTCACTTCTTGTTTGTAAATACTGGGACATGTGTTTCAAAAGTAGCTGGAACAGTGGCTTTTCTGGCACTCCATGTCCCTCTGTGGAATCAAAGAAACTGGCAGTCCTCTCCCTAACCCATTCTACCCGTCTTGCTCAGTCAAGGGTAGGGCCTTGGCAACAAGCATTGACAGACAACTCTTCCTGCTGGGCTCTAAAAGCTGGACCTAAACAATGGTGAGGGTGGGCGTTGACTGGAAAGAAGTTCAGAGAAATGAATAAATGTGATCCAGATACTTCTGGGAGGTGTGTGGATCTACCCACATAGCTCTGGCTGCCTCCTACATCGGAGACAACACAGGTGACTGACTTAGAGTGAGAAGGCTGAGGATCTGATCCTCTTCAAAGAGCTAAAGCCAATCACCTGACTAAAAATACAAGCATCTGAGATATTTGTGAAACCAATACACCCAGATATATTATCCTCGGGGCCTGCTCAGATTGAGTACTGACAGCATCTAAATGTTAATTATCCAATACAGATGCAGGTGGCTGATTGGGTAGTCAATTTTATGGAGTGATTGAGCAACTAGTTCTATGAAACTGTCCAATAAAAAAAAAAGAAGGCTACCTAAATATGACATGGAATCAAGATGCTAGTAGGGTGTTTTCAACAAATATGTACTGAGTTCCTATAACAGTCCAAGCACTGTTTCGGGAGTTTGGACAAGATAAGGCTGGATGGAGATCAAGTGCCACTATTTATAGGCTTGCTTTGTAGTGGCAGGATCAATTTGCTCCCTTTACACTTTGCAGTTTTGCTTAAAACATGTAGTAAACACTCTTGTAATATTTTTCTTGTTTTGTTTTGCCTTTTGCTTTGCAAGACAGGGTTTCTCAGTGTAGTCCTGGCTGCCAAGGACTCAATCTGCTGGCCTTGAACTCAGAGATTCGCCTATGTCTGTCTCCTGAGTTTGGGATTAAAGGTGTGCACCACCATCTCCTAGCCTCTTCCCTTCTTTAAGAAGAGAAAAGTGAGTCTGAAATGGGAAGACATTTCCATCCCTCTGCTCCTTACTTTCCAAAACACATTATTGACAGTGTTATGAAGCCCCTTGAGAGCCCCCAAAGGGTCTCAGCACTGACTAGGATTCATTTTGCACATAACAGTGAAATAAAAAATATATATGGTTATTCCACTATCTCATCCCATGTTTCCTTGAGTGTAAGTGATCTGCGTTCAAACCTTCTTTCTTGAAATATACTGCATATTCTTGTTTGGATACCTCCAGTAAATCAGTCAGGGTCTCAGGGTCTTATAATAGGCACTCAGTAAATACTTGGTGAACGATGAAAATATGGAATATCATGGGGGAGGGGAGACACACCACTAAGTCATACAAGGCACACAATAAATACTTGATAAATATGATCAAAAGTGTTCTGTGAGGATATTGACCCTTAGTGATCCAAACTAACAGAGTGTGTGTGTGTGTGTGTGTGTGTGTGTGTGTGTGTGTATGTATGTATAAAATAACACATTTACTTGGAAGTGAAAAACACTAACATTGCAAGAAAAAGGATGATCTTATTGCCCCAAAAGTCTATCTGAAATTTTAAAATGGAAAACATCTTTGTCTTGTCAATTGATTAATCAATGAGCAGTCTCACTCCCCAGTTTGTAGCAGAGCCCTGGCTCACCTGTACATGTACTTGATGTAGAGGGAACAAGCAAGACTCTCTCCTCTACAAGAACTCTGGACCTATGATACAGTCTGCTAAATGGAATAGCTTCTGTTAGCCTGAGCTCTCCAGCAGAAATCATGGTGTTATCAGAATCATCAAAGACTTAACACAGTAATAAAGATTAAATGAGATCTTATTATCAGGAGGCAAAAGGGGAGAAGGGATCTCTGTTGATTCAAACTGGCTTCAGTTGCTATACTCAATCCCTTTATCAAGCCAACCCCCCCCTCATTTGCCAGGGTTTCTCCAAGTTTGCATCACTCTGGTCACAACAGTCTATCTTTAACAATGTCAAGTTAGTTACAGTGAAGGCCAGATAGAGCCCATCGAGCTTGAAGACTTGGCACCCAAGAGCTTGGAGGAGAACCCAGAACACTCACAGTCCAGGAGAACCGCAGTGTGTGATACTTAGCATTTTAGAAAGACTTTCTGGATAACTGTTTTGAAGGACAGTTAATCTTGAAACTGCATCCCCATTTGGCATGAAAAATAAAAGCCAGGCTAAAACTTCCCTTCCCACCCAAAAATAAAAATAAAAACAAAACAAAAATAAAAGGAAGACATCCAATCAAACTTTTCAAAAAAAAAAGCAATTTGTAATACAGAGTAAGGAGGGATACTCATGCTATAGAAAGTCAAAGAGGAGTGAAGTGGTTGTGGGAATCTGTTGAAGCAAGCAACTGCTTGGTTCTTTTGGTGTCAGACTTGCTGATTTCCCACAATGCTGTATGGGATGATCTGGGCCTCACAGAAGCTTGGGTTACATGATTCCTTACAAAAGCATGGTAAGAATGGATGCAGGGTTTTGCGTTTTTAAGAAGTTCAGCATGCACTATTTATATGCAGGTCTCAATATCCAGGAATGGGAAAGGTACCTTGCACTCATCTATTATGACAGAGTTGTGTGCGGCATAGACACACTGATTAGAGTTGCTTTCCCTATGGTTCTTCGTGTCATCATAAATGGACTGCGTCTTGGTCATTTCAATGTCTTCATGCATTCGGTGTTGAGAGTCGATGGTATCCAGCTCAGACTTGGAGAGGTGATAGACGATCCCAGCCCCAAATGAATCACCCACAACGTTGACTGAAGTTCTCATCCTGTCCCTAGGGATGAAGCAGAGAAGTTCAGTGAGGAACTGCTCTTTCTATGAACCTAAGAAGAACATTTCAGTGTTGCTGAAGCTAGTAAGGATCCAGAATGTCTTTCCTCATATCTTACATTTGCAAGTTATGGCTTGAAAAAAAAAAGCAGTTGTTAAGAATATGAAAACTCATCTCAGAAAATCAGCACCAGGAAAGCTCATTGAATTCTTTAAGGGTAGCTGTACTCTCTCATGAGGAAGTACAAGCCAGTCAATGTGAAGGAGCGTTTGACCACATTCCCCACACCTCCAAAGTCCTATCAGTGAAGGTGCTGAAAAGCTACTAAAGAACTAAATAAGCAAACAAATAAGTAAATGTGAAAAATGAAAGAAAGGAGATGAGGTAATGCTGTTGTCAGCACAGTCATAGTTGAGGACACCCACTTTCCATTCAAATTCTATGAGTATGATTAAGTGGAAACCTTAATTTTAAAATTAGAACAACGACGCAAAATGAATCTGCATTGCTGTGGTGCAATCTATCTGTCATTAGGAAGTAAGAATAAGGAAGTTGCACTAGGACGAATCTGGCATGGCTCACTTGCAAGTCTAGCTGTCCTGATGGTAACCAGACACATCTGTCCATGGGGCTGGGGGATGCATATCAAATGATCAGAGCTGAACTTGAACCCTTTGGTATATCTCTGTCTTTGAATGTGCTGGTCCCTCTCTGGTCTTGAGAATCTGGCTGGCTGGGGGTGGTATCTGAATGAAGATTTAGGCTTAGGACATCCAGGAACAGTTGAAGCTAATGGTTAACAATGCCCAGCACAAGTGTCCAAGAAGGAACACAGGATAGAGGTTGATAAGGCATTAGAGACAGTCAGATGAGAGTAAGAAACCCCACTGTGCTATCGCATAACAGGCTCACTAGAACAACAGAAATGTGCTGTACATTTCAAAGGTAAAAGAAGGATGTGGGCAGTTTTATCATGAAGAGATTATTTCTAAAAAGACATACATATTTAACTTGACTAAGATACTACCCAGTATATACATGAATCAAGATATTATGTGGTGCCTCTCTAATATAAGTGTGTTTTACATTATAAAACATAAAATTATATATATATATATATATATATATATATACACATATACACACACACACACACACACATATATATATATATATATATATATATATATCAGACAAAATAAATGGCTGGGATGTAGCTCAGAGATAAAGGACTTATTATCTAGCATGTGCAAGGCCTTGGGTTTTACCACAGCACCATAAGAAAAGTCATAGAATGCACTCCAGAGGCAGCCTGGCTTGGAGTCAAATGTGATCTTTGTCCCTTACCTGTTGGCAACTCTAAGCATTTTAATATGTGTGGGCCTTCTCAAAACTGAAATAATGAGAAATGGCCAGTGCACATGGTTTCTAGGAAGTCAAAATGATACAACCAAAATGCTTATAACAGTTTCAGACACATGCTGAAAACTATTTAAAAAAGTTATTTAACCTGATGATGACATACATATAAAAGCACTACAGGTTTTATTCAGTTAATTCAAATGTATTTTAGAAGTTGCTAGGAAGCACATCCAAAGATGCCTGGTGAAGCTACCATCTCCCCCTGAAAACATTAGCCTTATTTTTACTCCAACTCCTATAACAGGTAGGGTGTGGCAGACAATGTCAATTATTACCTTTAGCTCCCAAAAAACGAGAAATAGTTCTGGGTTTTAGTAACAGAGAACCTGATATTGATCCACTGAGAGCAGTTTATCAGGACAGAAACTGGCTTTTGCCAGCTGTGTAAAAGTTGGGAGGAAAAGATATATATATATATATATATATATATATATATATATATATATTGTTTTTATTTTAGAAGCAAAATACTTGAAGTTGATTAAAGGTTAAACAAAGCCCATTGAGAAGGCAAAACTAAAGGGATGGAGAAAAGATGATAATCTCTGGTGATGAGTCCTGGATAGATTTGTGAGGGTGGGATCCAAAGTGAAGATGACGGTCCAGCCATATCTTTTGGTAGAGGGACTCAACTCTAACAATATGCAAGAAAAGGAGCATACGGCAAATTTATGAAGATAGGTTCCTCAGGAAGATGGCATGAGTTAAAGGATGTATGTCAAACAGCAAGATGCCAATTTAGATTAAGCCGCATCTTACCAACTTCTGCCACTATGTATCCTGGGAAAATTCCCAGGATACCCAGTCAGGAGATCAATAACAGGGATGTTTTGTTTGTATGTTGTTTGCTCCTCCAATACTGCAAAGCCAAGAAACTTCTAAACCACCAGGGAAATGTCTTTCTGACTCTATGGAACTGTAACCCTGGCCCAAAAAGGATATGAGAATTTCTGGTTCATATGTGGAAAGTTTTCCACAAGCAGATAACTTTCATTTTCTATCATGGTCACCCTTGGCCTCTTGGGAAAGTCTGTCTCTCTTGTTGACCTCAAGTAGTAGAGAGAGAAAGGAGGGAAGAGGGAGAGGAGGTGGGAGAAGAATAGACGAGGATGAAGAAGAGAAGATAAAAAAAATAAAAGGAATGGATTTGTTTATGCCACCTCTGGGATTCTGTCTGCCAGGAGGGCAAGAAAGCAAAGGAAATGGGAACAGAATCTTACATCTAATGATTTTTCTATAAATGGCACAGATCTTCTTTTGGGGCTGGCAGGCACCAAAAACAAGAGGGGGCTAAACAGTCCTTCACACCAATCACTGGGCCTGGCTTGTTTGAAGAAAAATAATTGCCAAGGTACTCTGGCTCATTTTTCTCTTGGTCCAAGTCCTCTGGCAGGAGATGTGAGACTGTCTAAAGGCCCGAGTTCTCACAGAGAGTGCTAGGTCACTCAGCTCTTCTGGGTCTTTGTAATGTGCTGAATCCTAAGAAATGATCATTGCTGTAGATGTAAAAGAACCAAGTCCTGGAATGTCATAGAACTTCACCAAGTAGAAACAAAGCATAATGTGGGCTCTCAGAGGACAGGGTACAGAGGGACTGTCTTGATGGACTCTATGTGGCAACAATGGGTCATATAGGACAGGCTTGCATTAGAAGGCTAAAGTCTCCCAGGGTTCAGGAAGGAAGAGCACTTACCCATCTGTTGGTTGAGATGTAACTGGATTCCATCCTGTGGAGGCATCCTGCTCTAACAGGCAGGTTATCTAGCTTTTCCTGCGCAGTTTTCTCGTTTGTCAGAGTCAGAACAAAACCCACTGGTGGGGAAGATAGCAACTGCCATCTGAGAACCTCTCCTTTGCATATGAAAGGTTGATATGGCACAAAATAAGTGTCCTTCCATTAGCTGCTCCTCATGGTATTGCTGTTATTAGTCAAGTGATGAGCTCACTTCCTCTTTCATTCCCCACAGATGCATACTCCTCATTTTGCACCTAGCACACAGTTGGGATTTCTTGAGCACACCACATCTGGTTGTTGTTTTGAAACATCTTTACTAGAGTGTAAGGCACTGAGACGCTGAGCATTAAGACGATGTTTATAGTTTCCATGGAGGAATTGACTCCAGGACCTCCCACGGATATCCAAAGCCACAGATGCTCAAGTCCCTTACACCAAATGTCCTAACACTTGCTAACAACCAACAGCCATCTCCCCACATACCCTAAAAACCACCTCTAGATCACTCACAATGCCCAGTACAGTAGGAATGCTACATAAGCACCTGTGCTATTTTGTTTTGGGAAGACTTATAAAACAAAAAGTCTGTTGGTGATCAGTTCAGATGCAATTTAAAAAAAAAATGGTTTCTATCTATACTTGAATTCTGAGAACATAGAAACCAGAGAGGGTTGTGGCATTCGGTGTGGCCTGGGGCAGGGTGGGAGAGTTGGGAAGTAGGTAGGAATAGGAGGAAGAATGGAATGGACTGTTCGTGTGGATTAGAAGCAGATGAACACAGAAAGAAAGGATTGTTTGTTGTTTAGCAAAACATCTGGCAGGATTTGCACAGTGTAAGGGAGGATTCGGGCATCATCCAAGTGGAGGAGGGAGTCACAGAAATCGACACTGAAAGAGGTGGACACAGAGCTGGGAAAGACGCAAAGAGAAGAACAAGAGGACTCGGCAAGATAAAACACTTGAAAATGGTCATCAAGGCAGGAGCGATCACGAGATGTGCGGGACACTAAAGGGTTGTTATTCCTTTGTTGTTGTTTTTTTGTTTGTTAGTTTTTATTTTCGTTTTTGTTTTTGAGACACAGTTTCTCTGTAGCTTTGGGGCCTATCCTGGAACTCTCTTTGTAAGCCAGGCTGACCTATAACTCACAGAGTTACTCTTGCCTCTGCCTCCCGAGTGCTGGGATAAAAGGTGTGCGCCACCACCGCCCAGCAAGAGTAGTTGTTCTTTAGGAAAGAGATTCTCAGTATTGAAGTTTCATTGCTAACATGGGCTGAACAGTTATGAGCCTGGACTGCTCTTGCTAAGGACCTGAGTTGGATTCTCAGCACCCATATGAAGTAGCTCACAACTGCTTGTAATTCCAGCTCCAGGAGTTCTGAAACCCTCTTCAGGCACAGGAAACCACGCTCACATGCATATACTTACACATACACACATCTACATAAATAAAGACAAAACAAATCTCTTTTTAAATTTTAATTCCTATGCTGCTGTTTTGTAACTGTGATTACAGGGTTCAGAGAATACTGAGCTTCAACGGCAGGTGCAAGGGACTTTCCATTTTCATTTTCTTATTCTCCTTGGCTTTTATGACATATCAAAAATGTTCTTGCTGTGCAGAGTCTGAATCCACCTAGCCCCTGGATCTGTGATTGCCTTGCTTTGAGTCAGGGATCTGCTGGTTGGGAGGGGAGGCCTTGGTTGAACGGTGGATCACATTCTACAATGAGGCTGACATAGATTCGAGATAAGGTAAAAACAAATCTATGTATGAAGAATGAAAGCCAAAGACTAACGCAATAAACATAAACTTCTAGAATCTTCAAAGAGATGGTGGATGAGGGAATTGGTTTTCTTTTCCATCAGGAATAGAGTGGAAGTCAAGTAAGTATTGTAGGGTGTGTGTGTGTGTGTGTGTGTGTGTGTGTGTGTGTGTGT